ACCCCCAGATCTTATGCAGAGGAGTTGCTGTCTAACTAGACCTCTCCCACCCTCGATTCAGGAAGTGTAAGCCATCGAGCCCTGTGGCATCATATCCTACTGGACTCGGCCGAGTGCTTGAGTCTGCTGAGATCTTTTGGGATCCTGACTGTCACTCATTATTTTATCCATCCCCCTCAGTTCATGAGTCTGTCATCCATGCCTTGCTTCACGTCATTGGATAAAAATATTCAATAGCACAGATCCCTCAGGCTCTCCCCTGGAGACCTCCAGCCACACTGACACGGACCCAACACAAACTGAGTGAAGTCTGGCTGTTCAGGCACTTCCGAGACCATCCAGCCAGTTGTGCTGCCTCTGGGAAGGGCAGGGACATGGGGTCTGCACCCCTCCTCCACTTTGCCAAAGGCTGCCGATCCCTTCAAGGTGCCAGATCAGCCGTACAACAAGCCTTCATTAAGCTCAGACTGTGTGCCGGGTCTGGGTCCCAGCTACAAAGGGAAAACAAACATATGGTCCCTGCCCTTGAGGAGCTCACAGAAGGGCGACAAGTCCACAGAGAGCTGTAGCCACTACACACAGAGGGGAGCTTTAGAGGAAAAGAGCAGCAATGTGTGATCTGCTGGAAAGGCAGCTTGGCACTGAGTGGTGAAGGGTTTGAGTGGAGAAGGGAAAGAGCAGAGGTATCTCCATTTGCTCCTGGAGGCCGTGGGGAGCCATTGGAGGTTCTTAAGTGGGGAGTGACACGGTCAGATCTGTGCTTTAGGGAGATCATTTTGGAGGCTGAATGGAGGACGGACTGGAGGGGGGACAGCCGGGAGACAGGCAGCCCCTCAGCAGCTACTGCAATCGTGCAGATGTGGGGCGATGAGGGGCTACACCAGGGTGGGGACAGAGTCAGAGGAGAGAAGGGACCTATCGGGAGAGATGCTGTGAGAAGGTAAAATTGACAAAAGATGTAGTGGAGGTGAAACAGATGAGATGTAGCGGAGGTGAAATTGACAGGCCTTGGCACCATTTTGTTTCTGGGGGTGAGAGCGTGAGGAGCCCCGATCACTACTAGGTGGGGAGCCTGAGGGCCTAGGAGGATGGGGGTGCCCATTCTCAGCAGCTTCAGTTTGGGGGCCCCTCTCCCACCCTTCACCAATGGCTCACCCAACCCTTCTTTCCTGGTCAGATTATTTGATTTTGATCAAATAAGATAATATTTTTAAAGCACTTAGCACAGTGCCTGGTAGGTACTCTCTTGATCAGTCTGCTCCGTTTATTTCCTGCCCCACACACCCTTCCTACAGATATTAGGAACTTTTCAAATGTTGGGTGGAGGAGGAGGAACTGGATTGTCCTGGACCTGTAGGAGCTGGGGAGGGGATGGCTGGGGGAGAAGGCAGCTAAGAAAGTCGTTTCAGTACTGGAGAAACTCGAGTATGTTCGGAAGGGGATGGAGAGGCAGAGACCAGAGAGGTGGGTGGATGGGGGCTGGGCAGGGTGGCTTGCGGGGCAGAGGGCTCAGGGGAGGGCTTAGGGTTGGGTTAACCCCACCAGAACCTGTAACTCTGACCGTCTGTGGTCAGGTGATGTGTGGCGCAGGGAGCCGAGGGCAGTTCCATCACGAGGCCTCAGTCTCTGGGAGAAGCAGGAGTGTACATTTAGGGCAGGGGCATCCCCGCTTAGTAACCTCCTGCCCACCTGGGGGCCGTGCCCAGGGGCAGACCGTCCAGCTCAGCACCTTCGCTTCTTATTGGTCATGTGGGCGGGGACTCAGGTGGGCATGGGCTCCTTTAAGAAGAGCACTGTACTTATGATCCCCCTTGGAGAGCTGAGGAAAGTGGGGTTCAGAGACAGCAGGTGACTGTCCCAGAGTCACAGAGCTTATGAGTGTCAGAAGTAGGCTGGGAAGCCAGGCCCTCTGGCTCTGTTGGTGGCCTCCTTTGTGAAATGGGTAGGAGATGGAGATGGATGGCTCCCTGAGGGTCCTCGTGGGATGACTGGAAGGTGGGGGAAGCGTCCCAGCAAATGCCTTGGGCAGGCCAAAGACTGGGATGAGGGGCAGCTTTGAGGCTAAATTCGGGGACAGACAAGCTGGGAGGGAAAACTGAGCTGTGGGGGATCCTCCTCATGGCCAGGAACCCCTCACTTACCTGGAGGGAGACCCCTGGGGGAATGCAGAGCTCTCCTCCCTGGGCCGGAGGACAGCCTGTTAGTGAGGCCTTGATAGGGGGACCCAGGCTTCCACAGTCCCGTCTCCTGCCTAGAGAGCATTTACAGGGCTTCAGACTTGTGACCCACCTTTCTAGACCCAGGCCGGAAGTCCCCGGGGCCAGACAGGCCCATGATGTCCCCGACGCTTCTGTCTCCTGCGTCTGTTTCCCATCCTCCCCCTACATCCTGCCTGTGGGTCTGGGCCCCTCCATTTGGCTTCCCATCCTATCCTTTGGGATTCCTGCCCTGAGCTAATGTGGGGGGCAAGGAGGAATCCAGCAGAGTCTCGGTTCCCTCCTTTGTAGAGTGGGGGCAATGATTCCTCCTTCACCAGCCCCACATTAAGGTTTCTGTGAGGGAAGGGTTTCAGCAGCCCGGGACTGTGAAGGAAGCAGGGGGAGTTCAGGGACAGAGAGTGGCCGGGCCAAAGCAGGGCCAGCCTTCCAGGGCACTGGCTCCTGGAGCCAAGAGCCCAGACTCAGGCAGGGGCCCCGGGCCAGGAGCCAAGCCAGGCCAAGGCTGACATTTGGGGCAGCCCAGGGCCAGAACACCTGGCTCCCCTTCCATTCTCAGACCCAAACTTGCTACGGCATCTGGAGCGAGACGCCGAACCTCATTTTTTCCTTTTCTGTAGGTGTTGAGAGGATCCCGTGAGATCCCAGAGGCTGCTACTGCCTCAGTTTCCACTCTTCTCCTGGGACTGTCCCTGCCCCGACTGGAGCTCTCATGGTCCAGGGATGGCAGTCTGCCACACTGAGCTCCAGGAGAGAGCATCTTAATTAAAGGGCCAGGAGCCGCTTCTATTGACTCGGCTGCATGTTTATGGGACCGTGTGGGTTCCCCCTCATCAAGCCTCTCCCCAGCACCAGGCAGGGCTGCTCACCCAGGAAACGTCCCTGTGTTTAGGCTCAATTTCCTTTCCTAACCAGCGGTACATGATTCATGGATTGATTCCTGAGGGAAAGCTTACCAGGGCCCTGGTGGCAACCAGGCTGCCTTCTACCTACCCGTCTCCCCAAAAAGCATTAGGGACATGCCGGGCTTGTCCCGGCGGCTCGCTTCCCTCTGGTCAAGGACCCCCACATCCTTCACACCACCTTCTCCACTTCCAGATGCCCAAGATAAAGTGCTGGGGGGTAAGGGCTACCAGTCCCAACCCTTGGGTCTGCTATTCCAGGCTCTTAAGCCTGTCTGGACCAAGGTCAAGGCTCTGACTGAAGCCAGGGGCCAGGGCTCTAGCTGGGGCTTCTCAAGGGTCCTGGGAACCCGGGTTAGAGCTCATAGGTCTGGACCTTAGCTGTTCCACATTTGAGGTCTGCCTCCCTCCCCCGCCATAGCCCCTCTGGTCATGGTCACTATCTCATATATGTCCCCGTTAACAGGAGTGCTCAGTGCAGGCAGGCAGGCTGATGGTCAGCGGCAGAAGGCCCTCCTGAGGGCTGGACTCCTCAGGATGCTGAGAGGGGTGGCCTCCCCCACTGGGCTCTGGGCTCGAGGGCATGAGACACTTGTTCTCTCCTCAGAACCCAAGGCAACAAGGCCTGATGGGGAAAGCCAGGCTGGAGAAGAGCCAAGGAGGGCAGACACCAGAGTGGGGGACCCAGAGCTCAGGGACCTGGGCTTCCTTCCGGAGCTTGGCCCCCAGAAGGGAAAGGGGAGTGAGGGGCCTCCCTGGGGAGATCTAGGGGGGACTTAAAGAGTGTCAGGCAGAAGAAGGGGTGGAGGGACCCAGCTTGGGTGGGACATGAGAGCAGAAGCAGGACCAGAACTCACCCAGTCCACTTCCTACCCACTTGACAGGAGAGGAAACTGAGGCCTTAGCAGCTGTCACTATTTGTGTGTGGCTGAGGGAGGTGGGCTGAGGGACTGTGAGAAAAGCGTGTTGGACGGGCATCCACATGGGGGCCGAAGTGCATGAGGGTGGGAGGTGGGGAGGGGAGGGGAGAGAAGGGCTCGCTGACCCAGAGCCAGGCTCTGAGCTCACTGACGTAGGGCAGGGAGGGTCCTGAGGCGCCTCCTGAGAGCAGACGGCAGCTACCAGGCTCTGGAGCGCCGGTCCAGGTGGGCCCAGTGACCTCCAAGGAGGAGAGGTGACTGGGGGGGTTTGGGGGGGCAAAGGGGAGCAAGGGGCAGCCGGTGTGGAGGTGGCGGCCAGGGCAGAGCCCACATCCGTGAGAGCCAGGAGAGGGAGCAGAGTGAGAGACTGCAGATGAAGGCGGGTTTGCTCCCGGGGGCTGGCAGCTGCAGAGGGGGCTTTGGGGGATTGAGAGGAATGTGATGCTGAAAAGGGAGAAGGCAGTGGGGGGAGGGGGAGAACAAACAGGGTTTGAACAATGGCAGCTGGGGGCTCCAGATCCCTGCTTGGGAGGGAATGTCAGCCTCGGGGCAGGTAGAGCCTCGTCTGTGGCCTCAGGCATCTCTGTGGGGCTGCAGAGCTGGCAGCAGGAGGGGGGCTGCATGGAGGGTCTTCTGAGGAGCCCCAGGTGGCTGCAGATCGTCACCGAGGCTGGGTGACCGCTCTGACCACAGGGCCTCGGAGGGTCCGGTGATACTGGGCTTCCCCCACAACAGCCGTGACTCCATTCCGCATTCTCGGGAGGAGAGCTGCCCCCCACACCCCGCACTCCTCCCCCGTCTCCCCAGTCGTGCTCTTGGCCAGCAGGGGGCTTCCTGAGCCCCTCAGCCTCAGGAGGGCAGCCCTCTCACCCTCGCCTCAATCCCTCAAGGCTCTGGGCAACCTGAAATGCCACCATTAGTGCCCCAGCTCACTGGCACGAGTGCAGTCTACCCCAGCCTGTTGGACCTTCTCACCCAGCAAGGTTGAAGGAAAGCACTAGTGTGCCCAGCTCTGCAGATCCAGAGCGACTGAGCCAGCCGGCAAGGAAACACCTGCAAACAGACAGGGGTGGGTGGGGGAGTGGGAGGCAGGGCTCCTAGACAATTGCTGGAGGGGGAGGGGGGGAAGGAAGGGAAGGAAGTGAAGGGGAAGGGGGGAGAGAAAAGGGAGGAAGAGAAGGAAAGGGAGGGGAGGAGGGAAGGAGGGGAGATGGAGAAGGGGGAGAGGGGAAGGGGAGAAGGAGGGAAAAGGGGGAGGGAGGAGGAATAGAGAAGGAGGGGAGGAGAGGAAAAGAAGGGGGCAGAGTGTGATCAGGGTCCTAAGTCCCGTGGGTGCAGGATAGCCCCGCCTGTTCAGACCCTCGGTGCAGAGGGCAGAGTTGCCTCCTGCCTCCCTCCCTCCTGTAGGATGTCATTGTCACCTCCCACCTGCCTCCCGTGGAGGTTCTGAGGTTCCCCTGAACATCAGCGCAGCCCCTCCACCAAGGACCCGCTCCCCTAACTCCTACTGGCACAGGCAGGTAGGTTCCAAAAAAGAACAGTTGCTGTCTTTGTTTCCAAGGGTAACCATTGTAATTTACAGAGCCCCCATCAGTGTGCCTCCCCTTGACAATGAGCCAGAGGACTCAATTAGCTTTTGGGGGAAAAAAGCATTTATTCAAATGGCACAGCGAGCAGCAGTTCCAAAGCATTTCCCCCAGAAGCCTGGAGTGCACACTACTGCAAAGCCTGGGGAGCCTAAGGGGGAAGAGTGGGTGTGGGTTTAGAGGATATCAGTTGTGAGGCGGGTGCACACACAGAGAACCATGTGGCCCCAGCAGCTCACAGTGCTGGAACAGCAGGGTCTCCACGCCTTTTATTTCTCTTGGTGTTGAGGATGAATGTCTCCTGCTAGGAGGGCTGGATCGTCCCTGTGAGATGGGCAGCTTAGCTGGGCTTATTCTGTAGGGGTGATGTGTCTGCTGGATGGGCCAATCTGGGAGGGGGCTGGCCTGAGTGGGTCACTCAGCTGCTGGCCCGGCTCTTTTTCTAGCACGGCTGCTGCTGGGCCGGGCCAGGAAGGCCAGCCTCCAGGCACTGAGGAGGGCAGGGAAGGATGCCAGGCCTCCAGGCAGGGCTGCTTCTGAGCAAGCTCTTCCTCTGGGCTGGCTCTTTGTCGCCCACACGGCGACTCTGCCGGACTGATTCTCTTGTCTCCCTCGGCTCCCTCTTTGGTGGGCAGCCCTGGTCTCCCCCCATCCCCCTGTGACTTTGCTGCTATTTCTGTGCTCTTAGCTGCAAAGGCAGGGACTCTTAGCACAGGATGGAGCCTCAGCTCTGAGGTGTGTCCCCCTCACGAGGTCTAGATTCTGGCATCTGAAGGTGCCTCCTGATTCCAAGCAGTTCCCTCGGCATGGGAGCCCACCCTTACTTATGGTGATCAGAGAGGGAAGGAGCATTTATTAAGCACCAGCTGTATGCCAGGCACTGTGCTAAGCACTTTACAAATATGATCTCATTTGGTCCTCCCAACAACCCTGAGAAGGAAGTGCTGTTATTATCCCCATTTTGAAGCTGAGGAAACTGAGGCATACCAAAGTGAGGTGACTCACCCAGGGGAGCCAGTTTGGGGTCTTATGCAGATGAGGAGAGGAGGACAGCTAGCTGGAGACAGTCTGGGCTCTGGGGTAAGGCAGGGGTGGGCTCTGATGGCCTTTTCCATAGGCCAGTGAGCTGTTCCCACAAAATGTTGGCACTTTTTTCCCTTTACATTCCACGCTGGCAGCCCTCAGTTTGGCCGCAGCCTGCAGAGGGCATCCCCACCCTTCATACCCCGTTCCGGCTGGCACTGGGGTGTCACCCCGGGGGAAGCAGCATGGCCCAGGGCCCGATTCCGATGGTGACGACCACTTCCTAGGCCTTGCTGGGGAGGGATTGGATGCCCTCTGAGGTCCTGTTTTCTCAGCCCCCCCCCCCGCCGCTTTACAGAGGGTGACTCCCCAAGGTCTCAGAGTGCACCGGGAAGCCCCCAGGACTCCCGAGTCAGTCCAGAAGTCGTGATCTGTGGGAGGCCTGGTAGGTTCATACGAGGCAGGAGGAGCAGGGAGTGGAGAGGAAAGACCAGCTGGGGCCTGACAGAAGGAAGCACACCATCCACTTCTAGGCCCTTCTTGACCACCCCCTCCCACTATTGGTGCTGGACCTCTGGGTCACCCCCAGTCAGCTCCTCTGAAAGGGGGAGGAGAAGGACCTTTCTGAGGGCGGGTAGGGGTCTTGGCCTAATTATGTATGTCTAGAGCTGCCAGCTTTCCCTGAGGTTCTCTGACGTTAAGCGATGCCTTGAGGCATCGGTGGAGTGGGGCTGGGGAGAGAGGCCCAGGTAGGGCTCGTGGAGAGGGGGACACGCCGGCAGGAAGGAGCCTCCCCGTGGGGGAAGGAGACCCTCAGTGAAGGACGATGAATTTGCTTTGGATTCCTGGGCCACCTGCCCTTGTGATACCGGGAGGCTCCCTGGTCGGGAGTCGTCCCTTGAGCATGTGGGCTTGGCTAATCTGCCTGTTCGTGTGTGATCCAGCCGGGCCTTTCCTGTCTCTCTGGGAGGGTGCCAGCCCACCGGTGTCCAATGCCTGGCCAGTCGAGCCATGGGGCTGCCTCCCGGCCTCAGCCTTGGCCCTCCCCGCACCCAGCTCCGGGTCTGATCTTCACGGTGGCGTCCTCTTTCCTAGGTTCCGCGGTCACTCCAAGGTAGAGGAGAGCTGCCAACGCACGAGGCCCTTCTTCTCCCGAAGCCATGGCCATGTGACCGGGAGGACACATGCAGTGAGGACAGCCCTTCCCCCCTCCTCAATGCTGGCTCCCAGACGCTGGGGAGTGGTCCAGGGGGGCTGGCGCCTCAGGGCAGGCCAGAGCCCCCCAGAGCCTCTGCCCTCCATAGCCCCCCGCCTGTGACCCCCCCCCGGCGCTGGGGCTGCAGCTATGGACCCAGAGCTGGCCCGGCCCTCGGTCTCTCTGAGCCAGCCCTCCCGCCCCTCCTGGCGCCATGGCTCTCTCCATCTCCTGGGACGTGGTCTACATCGTGGTGGAGGTAGTCATCGCCGTGCTGGCGGTCTTGGGCAACGTGCTAGTGTGCTGGGCAGTCTCGATGAACACCAACCTGCAGAACGTCACCAACTACTTCGTGGTGTCCCTGGCGGCGGCCGACATCGCCGTGGGGGTGCTTGCCATCCCCTTCGCCATCACCATCAGCACCGGCTTCTGCGCGGCCTTTCACGGCTGCCTCTTCATCGCTTGCTTTGTGCTGGTCCTTACTCAGAGCTCCATCTTCAGCCTGTTGGCCATTGCCATTGACCGCTACATTGCCATCCGCATCCCACTCAGGTGAGCTGCCCTCTGGCCCCAGGGCTCCCGCTGGCCTGGGCCTCACTGCCTTACGTGCCCGCCTGATGGCCCATCCTGAGCTGAGATGACCGGTGGAGCTTCCCCCGCAGTCGTGCTGCCCTCTGCTCGCCCGCAGGAGGTCAGAGCTGTGCCCCCTCCCAGGCTGGGAACACTTCGTCTTACCCGGGCTCCCTGGAGACCATAGGCAGCTGGGGTTAGGGCTGGGCTAGGGCTACGACCAGGGGCTGGCAGAGAATCCCAGACTCACAGAACCTCAAGATCAGAAAGGAGGGGTCTCAACAGCTCCTGAGGCCTTTAGTGCACAGGATGGGTCTGACTAAGAATTCCTTTCATGGCATCTGAGACAGGGAGGCAGGGCCAGCCTTTGCCTAAAGCCCTCCAGGGAGGGGCAGTCGCCAGCTCCCGGGGGGAGCCTGTACCACACATAGGAGGTTCTTACTGACACAGAGCCTAGACTGGTCTCTTTGTAGCTTCCCCCAAATGCTCCTGGGTCTGGCCCCTGGGGCCAGTCGGAACAAGGTGAATGCCCCCCTTTCCCAGTGGACCTTCAGATACCTGAACACAGTTCTTGTGGGACCCTAGACTAAATATTACCAACTTCAACTGATCTTCTCATGCTGGCCCCCACAAAGCCCTTCCCCAGACTAGCTGTGTCCTCTGGACACTCTCCAACTCACTGGTGTCCTTCTTAGGCTGCGGTATTCAGAAATGACCCCAGCGCTCCAGGGAAGGCCTTACCAGGGCAGAGGACAGTAGGATGGATGCTCCCTTCTGTTCCAGGAAGCTCTGCACCTCGGGATGGGGCCTGGGAGCTGAGCCAGGGCCAGGAGCTTTGGGGGCTGCCACATGCCACTGCTAGATCTACTTCCTGTCTCCTCAAGCCGTTAGATTTCTTTTTCAGACAAACTGCTGTCTGCCTAACCAGACCTTCCTCATCTTATACTTGAGAAATTGATTTTTTGGACCCAAGTGTAAGGCTTTATGCTTATCTCCACTTAATTCCAGCACTCCAGCCTCTCAGGATCCTTTTGGATCTGATTCTGTCACCCAGTGTTTAACTCTCTCTCCCATGTCTTCAAGTTGGCTAAACATACTATCTCTGCCTTTATCTAAGTCACTGATTTATCCAAGCCTTGTGCTAAGCACAGATTCCTAGGGCACACCATCAGAGACCTCCTGCCCCATTGACACTGAACTATTAACAAGTACTCTTTAAGACTGGCCATCAAACAATTCTGAATCCTTGTATTATCAGCTAGTCCACATCTCTCAATCTTCTCCCCGAGAATAGTAGGAGATGCTTTATCTAAAGCTTTACTAAAATTGAGGTAAACTTTAACCCCAGCATTTGCCCCATCTGCTAGGTTCATCATTCTGGCCAACAAGGGAACAGGCTAAGTCTGGCATAACCTGTGCTTGCTGAGCCAGCCAGGCCAGCTCTTTGCAAGTCACGACTGTCTTTTCTAGATGTTCACCAATTATCTCTTTAATGAGCTGCTCTAGAATTTTCCTAGGAGTAAAAGCCAAAGTCACAGAACTAGAGTTCAAACTCTCTTCTCTTCCCCTTAAAAATAAAATCAGGATAGTCTTCTAGCCTTACCCAGACCTACAGAATTGGAGATTTGACAAGGATCCCAGTGGCCTCTAGTCAACCCTGACCCACACAGAATCCCCCATGACAACCTTCCCACCATGGTTTAGCATGTCTCTCATCCTTCCCTGATGGGCACAGTGGTCCTATCTGCCGATTCTTCCAGACCCCAAGGTTGCAGGTTAGTCTGGGCTGAATGCTGAGCTCATGTAGGACACCAAGGGACCCTAGGGGTGCAGAGAGGACAACAGCAGCTACAGTGTGCTTCATGGACACTCAGCTTTCTGATATTCCTGCCAGCTATGCAGAGACAGCATTTTGCAGCAGAGGAAACTGAGGGTCAGTGTCTTACTCACAGTCACCCTGCTAGTAAATGATGAGGATAGAATTACAGCTTGGGTCTTGGTCAGTGCTCCTTCCCTCCACTTCAGCAAGGCAGGATAGGTAGAGAAGATCCTTGGCAAGCCTGCTGTTGGCTGTGAACTTGCCCCCTGCGTCCTTCCTCCTAGGCCTCCCCAGGGGTGGGTTGTGGAGGCTCTGGCAGAGTCAGCCCATTAGACAGACTTTGAAGAGGGACCTGTGACGGAGGCTGTGAGTCCTCCGCAAGAACTGGCCTGCTGAGTGCCCTGTAAACCAGCGAGTCCTCCGGCTGCTGGGGACGAAAAGCCTCAGTCATTCTGGGGACCCCGCTGCCTCCATTCCTCCTGGAGCTTCTTCTCAGCTGTGGGCCTTCAGGTCTCTGGGGCTGGGGGAGTTTCAGCCAGTCAGAACATATTTCTCAGCAACCAAAAGGGAGCGAGGCCGGGGCCCTGCCCAGGAGAACAAGCAGCCTGTGGCCAGAGACCCTGCCCATGCCTTCCAGCCAAGTGCTGGGCTCCTCAGCTGGCAGCTGGTCAAGGACTGGTCCATGGGCACAGCCAGGGGTTCCCCAGCCCCAGTCATGCCCATTCAGAATCATGCTGAGCATGTACTGCCCAGTGTACTTTGGGGGAAAGTCCTGGGTTGGCCGTTAACGTGCTGTATGATGCTGGCCACCTCTTACCCTCTCTGGGCCATATTTATCCCAGAGTAGAAAAGACTGGGAAATTTTCCAGTCCTGGGGAAACCCCACACCGAGGGAAGTGTGTGAGGGGAGGGAGAGCAGAGGGTGTGATCCAGGAGGGCAGCTGGTAGTTAGCTGGCTGAGTTGCCTTACCTGTGGCTTCCAGCCTCCCTCCTGGCCTCCCGATCCCCTCCCTTGACCAGCCCAAGTAAGGAGGCCTGTAACTGGGCCTTCCCCAGGCCCCGAGAGGCATTCAGCTTTCCTCAGGCCACTGTGGCCACGAATGTGGACCCTAGCTTGCTTGTGGGCCTCCCCCACCCTCTCACCTTTGCCAAGGCTGTGCCCCCAGCCTGGCATACTCTCCCTTCTCACCTCTGGCTCACAGGATCTTAGTCACCGCAATCCCGTCCTCACCTGTGCTAGATCTTCGTGCTTTATTCCTCTGGATGCGTGTTCCCTCAGGTCCTGCAGGAGAATGTCAGCTCCCTGAGGGCAGGGCCTGTCCCGCTTGTGTTGTCTCTGTTTCCCTTGCACCCACCACTAGACAAGGCAAGATCAGACAGTGCATCGAATCAACCCCGGTGATGGAGGCAGACAAGATGTGTACTTGGGGAAGCTGGGGGGGGGGCCCGCAGGCCGGCATACCAAACAGAAGCAGAGGCTCTTTGCCCTCAAGGAGCTGATGGTCCAAAGCCTAGGGTTTATGGCTGGCTTGGCAGTGGAAACTGAGGCCCAGAGAGAATGGCATCTGGCCTGGCCTGGTCGCCAGATGCGGGCTCCTTGCTCCCTCCCTCACTGGCCTTACCTCAGCCAGCCATCGTGACCCTCCCCTTCTTCCTCCCCAGGTACAACGGCTTGGTGACCGGCACGCGGGCCAAGGGCATCATTGCCATCTGCTGGGTGTTGTCCTTCATCATCGGCCTGACGCCCATGCTGGGCTGGAGCCGGTGCGTGGAGGCCGCGGCAGCGGGCAATAGCTCCGAGCCCCCGCACTGCAGTGTGGGCCAGATGCCGTGTCTTTTCGAGGCGGTGGTCCCAATGGACTACATGGTCTACTACAACTTCTTTGCGTGTGTGCTGCTTCCTCTGCTGCTCATGTTGGCCATATACCTGCGCATCTTCATGGCGGCCCGGCGACAGCTGAAGCAGATGGAGAGCAAGCCGGCAGCGGGCGAGCGCTCGCGCTCCACGCTGCAGAAGGAGGTGCACGCGGCCAAGTCGCTGGCCATCATCGTGGGCCTCTTCGCCATCTGCTGGCTGCCCCTTCACATCATCAACTGCTTCACCCTCTTCTGCCCAGAGTGCCCGCACGCGCCCCCCTGGCTCATGTACCTGGCCATTGTTCTCTCGCACACCAACTCCGTGGTGAACCCCCTCATCTACGCCTACCGCATCCGCGAGTTCCGCCACACCTTCCGTAAGATCCTCCGCAGCCACGTGGCCCGGGCCTCCACCCCGCGCGGCCGGGACTGCGGCCAGGGCCAGGAGCGCGTTAGTCTCCAGCTCAATGGGCACGGCGCTGGCCTCTGGGCCAATGGCGGCACGCCCAGGCCAGACAGGGCGACCACAGCCCTGGAGCCCGAGGGTAGGGGCTCGAGACACGGCTGTGGCCTCCAGGACGTGGAGCTCCTGAACCTGGAGCTCCCGGGGTCTCACCCCACAAGCCCTGGCCTGGAGGGGCCCCCACCAGCCGGCATCTCCTGACATTGGCCACGGATTTGGCTGAAAGAGAATCTTTGACCCTCTGGTGGCCAGAGGAGAAGTGGGTCTGCATCCCAGGAGGAGGTCTGGCCTGGATGGGGGGTGCCCAGCTAGGGACTGGGGGACCTTCCTCAGGCTGGCCTCCTGAGTCAGCCTGGCTCTTGGCCACCACCGGACAATCTGCGTCCTGCCTCAGTGACCCAGAGTGGGCCTGGGGAGCAGGGAGCTGCGGGGCCTTCAGGAGGAGGTAGACTGAGGGAAGGACCCCTGGGGTGCTTTCTGGATCCTGGCTGCCCTCCTGGATGCCTCTGGTCCTGCTGCAGAGGTGGCCTTGGGTGTGTCACTGGCCCTGGCCCTCAGGCGGAGGGGCTGGGAGGGAGTGGGCAGGGGTGGGCAGGGGAGTGCATGGGGAGGCCAGGCTGGCCCTGGGTCTGTGTAGTTGGGGACTGACCGGCTCCCCGGGGACTTCTGTCTGTCTTAATAGCCACAGGTAATGTTTGTTTAGAGAGACAATTAAATGGGACTGTGTGACGTTGTGGTATGTGTGTCTGCACCCTGTACCCTTTGCTCACCGGGAGGCAGCCAGCCCCTGGGCCCCCACTGCCCACCCCGTCCTCCCTGGCTGGGAACCTGCCACGTTCAGGGCATTCTGTAAGAAGTGCCAGGGCCAGAGGCCAGAAGAGGCAGACCCAGCCCTGGGTGGGCAAACGGTACTTCTCCTATTGCCCCATTCTGGGCTCCGGGGCCTTCAGGGAAGAGGGCTTTGGAGCTCTTGGTCTGCCTTTCCTCTACCCTCCAGTTCTGGAGGTCTCCCATCTAAAGACCCCCTAAAGACCCTGAGCTTCCCTCGAGGCGTGCAGGGACTGCTGGGGGAGAACAGAGGGGCAGCTTTGCCCCCTGCCATTCTAACAGAAATCCTGGGGTTCCTGAAAGCCCTTCTGAGCTCACGTGGCCTTTAGCAGAGGGACTCCTGGTAGTGCCCCTGCCTCGGAATCGTACCAGGAAGCCTGGGCTCTCCCTGGGGCTCTGTGGCAGGGATGAAGCTGAGTCCCAGGCAGAGCCCTGGCATCCTTCCCTCCATGGTCACCCCAACAAGCTTTGGGGAAGCTTTCGGGCGTTCCTAGGAGGTGGGAGCGAAGCCTTTCCTCCCGGATCGCAGCCTGCACCTAAGGTAGTGTGGCTCACGCTTCTCCAGACTTGTCCTGCCATGGAGAGGGCAGCCAAAGAGAGAATTCCCAAGCAGCTGTGGCCACACTCCCCAGTTCTGCCAGTCATCACATCCTACGGGACTTGCCAGGGCCCACTTACTTTGCTACTATGGGGATCAGTTTCCTCATCTGTAAAATGGGGGTTGGGGTGAACCAGATGACCTCTGACTTTGGCTGGATGGGCTTCTGTGGGGCCCAGAATCTACCAGATGCTGTGTGGCGGCCCCCCAGAGACCCCCTCACCATGGCTTCTCCCATCCTGTCTCTGCTGTTGTCTCCCCTCATAGAAAGAATGGAGTCTGCCTGAGGAGCCGGAGGAGAAAAGTGGGCACCTTAATGACTGTGGCCACTCACAGTGCACGTATACGCAATGTTTGTTTACGTGGTGCTGGAACAGGGCCGAGAGCTTCAGAAATCTCTCATTTGAGCCTGGGAGGTAGATGCTCTATGATTCTCCCCATTTCATAGATGAGGAGAATGAGGCAGAGATCAAGTGACTTGCTCAGGGTCACACAGCTAGTAAACAGTAAGAACAACAATACCCCTAAGTGAACAAGGCAAGCCCCGCTGTTCTCAGTCACCCACTGTGTCCCCAGGGCCGTGCTCACTAAGCCTGGGGCAGGAAGAATGCCGCTGGCCCCACCCCCGCCTTCCTTCGGGGAGCTGAGGCCCGAGTGGCACAGAAGCCACAGCCAAAGGGCTGGCCGGGTCTGGGCTGGGGGTAGGAGGTGGGAGGTCCGGGCTCTGGGCCATCACAGCCACTCTCTGGCTATCAGCTCGCCCCTGGGCCCCAGTGTTTCCCTTGCCAATCCCAAGACAGGCCTAAGATACCAGGGGCTGCGTGTCTCCCGGGTCCTTCCCTGGGCTCCAGCCTTAACCCTGGTCCCCTCCCCAGCCTCTGGAGGGTGTCTGTCTGCTTCCCTACAGGTCCAGTCAGTGAAGCAGCTTGGCTGGCTCTGGGACCAAGGGGAGGGGGCCACACTGACCTTTACTCTGCCAATCGTGGGGCAGGGAGGGGCACTGGGGCTCACCAACACCCTTCATCTCACCAAGTCATCAGATGCTTCTGGGAAGTGGGAGGGAGGCAGGGGACCAGGGCCCAAACAAGGGAAATCACACAGCTTGAAGTGATGGTGGAGCTGGGATTGATACCTGATCTCTATACCACATGGGGAAACTGAGGCCCAGATGTAGGAGGGATTGGCCCAAAGTTACAGAGCCAGCGAGGTCCAGAAGCAGGACCAGAAGCCAGGGCTCCTCACGCCCTCCCCAGGGTCTTTCCTCCATACTGGAATGAGTGTCTAGAAACACACCCTGAGCACCCACTGGGCAGGTTGGGAGAACCTGGAAGGGTCACCTGATCCTGTCCCAGGCTAAGCTGCCTTTAAGCGGACTGTGACTCCGGGCATGGGGCCCTTCACAGGCTAGACAGACAGCAAACAGCCCTTAAGCCCCTGCTATGTGCCAGGCACCATGCCATGGTACCGCGTTGGATGTGGAGTGAGAGAGAGTGAGGATTTTAAGATGACCCCGAGGCTGGGAGCCTGAGGGCCTGGGAGAACAGTGATAGGGAAAGTAGGAGGCAGGGAGGGCTGGCGGAGAAAGGTCAAGCTCTGTTTTGAACATGTCTAGTTTCAGATGTCCACTGGACTGACGTCCACTTGGAGATGTCTGGAGGTCAGCAGAGAGGCTGGGGCGGGAGAGGCGGATTTCAGAGTCACCAGCACAGAGGTCATTCAATCCATGGGAGCTGATGAGATCACCCAGAGGGAGAAGGGCAGAGGGCCCAGGACAGAGCCCTGGGGACACCCATGGGCAGAGGGCCTGGTCTGGAGGAGGATGGGGCCAGAGAAGCATCCAGTGGTCAGAGGGGGAGGAGGAGAACCAGGAGAGTATACATGGGTGGGGTAGGGGGTGTCCCAAAAACACAGAGGAGAGTGTCCGGGAGGAGGGAGTGGTCACCATTGTCGGAGGCTGCAGAGGCCAAGGAGACTGAGGATGGAAATGAGGCTGTTGGGTTTGGCAGCGAAGAGGTAGTGGTAGGTCACTTTGGAGAGCGCTAGTTTTAGTGGAATGATGAGGTCAGAAGCCAGAGTAAGGGGTAAAGAAGAGAGGAGAGGAGAGGGGGGGCAGACCTGGGGAGCCAGTGGGCTTGGGGGAGGACCTGGGGTCTGCATCTGCCCTGGGGGGCACCCCCGCCCCCGCCTGTCCAGCACCGTCCAGTTGCCCTGCCCCCACTGGTGGCCTCTCCATCAGAAGGAGAGCTCTCTGTGAGCAGAGCTCTCTCTCTAGGCTCAGGGCCTGGAAGGGGAAGAGATTAAGCAGGGCCCTTGGGCTCCCTGGCTCTGTGGGTCTCTTTCGTGGGGCATTACAAGGATGCGGGGCACAGAAGGGAGAGGGTGAATAAGGGCTTCCCTCCTGCCAGTGGGTCTGGGGGGGCTGGGTCAGTGACCTCTGGGGTTCAGGACCCTGCCTTGGGCCCCAGCAGCCTCCTTTAGACCCCCCAGGGCTTCCCTCCTGCCAGTGGGTCTGGGGGGGCTGGGTCAGTGACCTCTGGGATCCAGGACCCTGACTTGGGCCCCCAGCAGCCCCTCTTCAGCTTCCCCTCCCCCAGTGTGCTGGGCCCTGCCTGGGGCTGGCACATGGTTCCATCCACCCACAAGCCCATTTTCCCCCCAGCCCCCAATTGGAGGCAATTTTCCAGTTAAAATGTTGTCAGTGACTGTCACGCTTTGATCTTTCTTTGTGCAGCTCCAAGACACCCACTCACAGGTGGGGGAAGGAGGAGGGAGAAGGTGGGGGGTGGGGTCCCAGAACCACCTCCAGCTGGAGGGTGCCTGGCATCATCCTAGCATCCCTGGGTCAAGGACCTGAGCTCACCGCCCCCCCCAAGCACCCCCACCCTGTCTGTATTTCCTCTAGCCACGGGGAGCTCAGTACCTTTCCAGGTCAGGGATCAGCTCCAGCTACCCACCCCAAGCCGACGTGGACCTCAGTGGCCCAGATCGGCTGCTTTAGCCCATTTCCCACTCCCCTACCATGTCTCCTGGTTCTGCCCTGTGAGATGGGGGGGGGGTCAACCGAACAGATCTGGGAATGCTAGCAAGTGCTGCAGCCCAACACCCCCAGGCCAGCCAGCCTAGAGCTCCCTCCCTGTGGGCATCTGCATCCTAGCCAGGGCTTTGGGCTGGCCCTTCTGGATATGTGGGCCATGGCTGCTAAGGCTAGCGGAACACTGGCAAAGTACCCGCTGCCCCAGGACAAGCTGGACCTGAGACGATGTGCCCATTGCCCAGATGAGGAAAGTGCCTGTCAGAGTAGGCTAATGACTTGTCCAAGGTCACCTGGTGTCAGGAACAGCAGGTGCCAGAGGCAGTCAGGCAGACTGGCTGGCATTGTGCCAGGGAGGAAGCCATTAGGCTACCCAGACAGAGATCAAGAGGGGGGAGTCTTGGGGTGCGGAGGAGGGGCTTCTGCCCTCACTTCCCACCCCCGAGGCACCAGCTGTGAGGGGATGTCTCAGGCTGGCTAGCCCCAGCTTTCCCGATTTGTGTTGGGGGTTTAGGCTGCACCCCTCACCTGAGCATTCCGGAACCCAAAGCTGCTGTTCTCTGGGGGCCAGCCATGCCTGAGGACCCACTCCACCCATGGGCATAGGTGCCCCTACCCGTGGAGAGGCTGAGTTGATCTTCCCTGGTGGGGGGGAGTCGTGTGACTTTTGCAGAGCCTGAGCCTGACCATCCAGGGGAGGGCAGGGAGGGGCAAGGACCACTGTTGTGCCCACTGGACATTTGAGGGTTCAGTGCTGAGGACAAGGATGCTGGTCCTCTGGGCGTGGGTGTGCGGGAGGTAGATTTGGGGGGGCCTTTCCTGAGCAGAGGGGCCCTGGGTGGGCCACAGAAAGGTCTGAGCCTGAGGAAGGGCCCTGGAAAGCCAAACCCTCCCTCTCCCCTCAACCCTGAGACTTCCTGCCCCTCCCCCCGCAGCTCCCTTCCTGGCCTGGCTAGCCTGTGTTTTCTCAGGCTATTTGTGTCCGAAGCTCACAGCTGAGGCCTCTCAGGCCCCCGGGGCTTAGGATTATTCAATTACTCCATTAGGAAGCCTGTCCTTCCTGCCCAGTCATTGAAGCATCCATCTCCCA